AATTTTAATTACCTTAAAAAAGTTCCTTCTGACAACCCACACTACTGTTTCATCTGACAGACAGGAGTAAGAACGCCTACTTTTCTAAAGAGAGGTAGAACAGGTGTTGGGTTCTTGCAATCATTTTAAATCTCGCTTATTAAAAAAAACGAATAGATCAAAGGATACTGCTCCTTAGGGTGGGCCCCCAACATTTATGTCCCTCTTAGTCATTTCCTGCCCCTATTGTTCATTTAGTGATCAGATTTTTGGCCCGTTGCTCAATATTGCACCACCCTTTCCATGAAGCTCCTTTCTGGATATCACTTATATCCCACAGTAGAAATNGTAAGAGGTTTACAGCTAGCATTTCATCAGGGAGAACAGGTATGGGTAACAAGCAAGAGTGAATGTTGCTGGCAAAAAATGATTCTAGAATCCTGTGACTGATGACAAGAGAAGAAAGTATCATAGAAGAATAGAATAACTTTCAATATCCCTATGCACTTTTCAGTATTGCTTCTAGTTGACCTTGGTCTCCCCAAACCTTATGGGGAAAACTGAATTATTTGTGCCAATTCTTCACACTCCTACTTGAAAATTGTGTATCCATGTACTCATGGTGAAATTCCACACCCTTTTACTTTGGGCTTGGCTATGTGATTTGCTTTTGTCAATGGGATGTTAGCATATATGACATTAACATCTGTCCTTTTTACCAAGTATCAAACATTCTTCATAATTCTGCAATAATTTTTAATAATGCCCCAATTCTATAATGGGATATCAATAGTATTAAAATGAAATGTAATGTCATAATGTTAAATTAATTGTATTTTCAGCTTCAGTTGAAATAAGATTATTTCCCCAGACAAATATGGTCATGAATGGTTCAGCAGATCAATAATATGTGCAATGGAATGGGAACTGGGGGACTGAGCAGTACCTGAACAGGTGGTAATACAGCATAGTGTTGCCCTTGGGAAATATCCTACATGTTCCTAAAAGTGACTTGCTTTGAAAAGGATAAGATATTTCTTTCAGATTGGAAAAGTTTCTCTTAGAATTCAAACTGCTACTGCAACTAACTGCATTTCTAGCTGAGACAAACTCATAGGGAATAGAAGAAATTAGAAGATAGAATTTGGTCTGAGCAGCAAGAGGATTGTATTTTGGGATTGTGGAAAGACTTATCCTGGGTCTCAAATTGCAAGGCATCTGAATCCATATCGGCAGAGTCTTACATGGAGATTCTTACTTGGGAAAGCTAGGGCCTTATTTTCAGGATCAGAGAAACATTACCTGCGAACTTCAGTGGAAATATCTGGCTTGAGAGGTGCTATGATCTTAGTGTTTGTGTTTCCCCCCAAATTTATATGTCGAAATCCTAACCTCTGAGGTGATGGTATTAGGAGGTAGGACCTTTGGGAGATGATTAGGTCATAGGAGCAGATTCTTCAGAATGGAATCGTACTCTTAATAGAAGAGATCCCAGAGAGACTCCTTGTACCTTGTGCCAAGGGAGGTTATAGTGGGAAGACAGCTGTCTATGAGGAAACTGACCCTCAGCAGAGCCGGAATCTGTTCGTGCCTTGACATTGGACTGCCCAGTCTCCAGAACTGTGAGAAGTTAGTTTCTGTTGCTTATGGGCCATTTAGTCTATGGTACTTTGTTATAGCAGCCCAAATTGACTACAACACAAATTCATTGCAGAAAATATAGAAAGTAATTTGTATATCCCATTTTTCCAAATCTATGAATATATCTAAGCTGATAGATATTTTGACTTGAATGTATATAAAAACAAATAAAATGGACCTTATGTTCATATAAAATAAATTTATATTAAATAATTTTACTTTTATAAATAATTGCATTGTATTGTAGGAGTCTGCAAAGAGGTATCAGAGTTGAAGTCAAGATTAAGCAGAAAAACATTTCTTGAGTGTGGGCTGGTTTTAAACAAGTTATGTACAGAAATTATTACACAGTTTTGTTTTTTCTATTTTTGTCTTTTTTGTGACTGGTAAGGGGATCGCAACCCTTGGTGTGGTGTCGCCCACACCGCGCTCAGCCAGTGAGCGCACAGGCCATTCCTATATAGGATCCAAACTTGCGGCGGGAGCGTCGCTGCGCTCCCAGCGCCACACTCTCCTGAGTGCACCACGGGACCAGCCCTATTACACAGTTTTTAATTGAACTAAATAATCAGGTTACTTAAGAGAAATTAAACTAAATATTGACAGGTTGTGGGTATATCTGAAAATATAAATTTGTGCAAAATTCTAATAGATGGGGGAGAGATGGGACCCAATAAATACTAGTAATTGTAAGTGAAACTATAATTCTTATTGATTCTTTACCACATTATAATTTTGCTTAAGTGTACAGTGATAATTTATTTCAAATTTATAAATTCAATCTGAGCAATTATTTATAATACATTTCTGTTAAATTTTTTCTGTTCTTTGAGTTTGCCACATCATATGAAATCAAACCATCTCACATTGGTGGCCAGTGAATGAAGTGTGAAGAACATGCCCACAATATTTAGAAAGCAAGTCGCATATTCCAAAACCTCCCAGTTATATACTCATGGAAATAATATTAATATTAATTGTAAAAAGTACCACTTACTTCTGTGCTACTATATGCCAAACACTGTGATAAGCATTGCATATAGATTACCTCATTTAATTATTACACCAACACTTTGAGTAGGATCTAGTAATATCTCATTTTAAAGCTGAGGAAATTATTCCATTTAAAAAAAAATTCTTCCATTTAAAAAAAAAAGGTGGGAGCACTGCCGCGCTTCCCAAGCGGCGCACTATCCAGTGCGCCACCGGGCCGGCCCGAAACTATAATTCTTATTGATTCTTTACCACATTATAATTTTGCTTAAGTGTACAGGGATAATTTATTTTAAATTTATAAATTTAATATGAGCTATTATTTATAATACATTTCTGTTAAACTTTTTCTGTTCTTTGAGTTTGCCACATCCTATAAAATCAAATCATCTCACATTGGTGGCCAGTTAACGAAGTGTGAAAAACATGCCACACAATATTTAGAAAGCAAGTCGCATATTCCAAAGCCTCCCAGTTATACACTCATGGAAATAATATTAATATTAATTGTAAAAAGCACCACTTACTTCAGTGCTACTGTATGCCAAGCACTGTGATAAGCATTGCATATAGATTATCTCATTTAATTATTACAGCAACACTTTGAGTAGGATCTAGTAATATCTCATTTTAAAGCTGAGGAAATTATGCCAAAATTCTTCCATTTTTTAAAAAAAGTCATGAGATCAGGGGCTGCCAGGTTAGCTCAGTTTGTTAGAGCACAGCCTTATAATCCCAAGGTCAAGGATTTGGATCCCTGTACCAGACAGCCACAAAATAAATAAATAAATAAATAAAACCCAAAACATAAGATCACATTGAAGTAAAGTGTATCTTCTATCAACACAAGGAAAATATGATCTATTGACAAAACAACCGATTTATATAGGTGACTGTGCTTCATGTTAGACCGCCATGAAACAGGATAGGGATTGGTGTGACCCCATGGCCCACGTCTGCCACTATTGACATTGTGTCAAAGCCTTCCCAGGTGTCTACCAACCCATCCAATAAGTACAGACTTGCTGTATTTTTCCTTGTTTACTAATGATTGATGGTGTTAAATGGAACAGCATGGAAAATCTTGTTAGCATCAAGACATATTTAATCTATTGCCTTTCCTTGATTTCCTAAGTCACTCTGACATATAAGGAAATTAGATTAATCTGACATGATTCATTCTTAATATAGCCTTGTTTATTACTCCCCAGTTCGAGGAAGCTGGTGTTCATCTAGCTGTTGCCAATTGATTTTTGATGATAAACTCTATCTTCTTTTTTTATTTTCTTTGCATTGAAATTCAGCTAAAACATGTCATTATTTTCTGATCCCTACTGTGGGTTAGGGAAAGGACATAAATATACATAATTTTATCAATCTGCTTTATTACGAAATCTTCCAATATAATTTCTTGATTCTCTTGTTAAAAATTTTAAAAATAATATACTACCGAATTTAATCAATGTCTTTTTTTTATCAGAAGCCATTAATCACTAGGATCAACAGATTTGAACACATAAAATTTAGTCCCAATATTTATCTCATTTAACTTTACTTCTACTCTGGCTGAAATGTAGCCTTGCTTTCCTTTTTTAAATTTTTTTATTTTTTTAGATTTCTATAGTGGAAATTTAAAAATAAAACTGATGACAAAAATAACTAATAAAATATTGCTTTATGGATGTTTTTGTTATGTGTGAATCTTTTAAGTTTTCTAATTACACACACACACACACACAAAAAAAACCCCCACACATTTTGGACTGTTTTTGAGAATTCACCTCATTGTGCTGCACCTTATAAGCATTCTGATGGAAGCAAGATGTATAAGGCATTATTTTTGCCTGCAAAGAACTTTTAATATTATCAGTCAAAATAAATCAAGTAATTGAAAGATAAGTTAACATATAATGAAACAGCATTAGGTCATCAAAGGAGAGTAGGTCTGAAAACCTTGATGGAAAGCTTAGCTTTAGCACTTAAAATTTTAATTACCTTAAAAAAGTTCCTTCTGACAACCCACACTACTGTTTCATCTGACAGACAGGAGTAAGAACGCCTACTTTTCTAAAGAGAGGTAGAACAGGTGTTGGGTTCTTGCAATCATTTTAAATCTCGCTTATTAAAAAAAACGAATAGATCAAAGGATACTGCTCCTTAGGGTGGGCCCCCAACATTTATGTCCCTCTTAGTCATTTCCTGCCCCTATTGTTCATTTAGTGATCAGATTTTTGGCCCGTTGCTCAATATTGCACCACCCTTTCCATGAAGCTCCTTTCTGGATATCACTTATATCCCACAGTAGAAATACCCTAACCAGCCCTTCTAGATGTCAAAAGTTCATAGGCCAAGCACTTCTGGAAAGAAGAGAAAATTCTCTGCGGTAATAATATTAAACAACATTTAATCATTCAAAAAACAAGAAAGCAGAACAGAAAGCAATTGAGTCTCAGAAAGAGGGGAGAAGAAAATCTAGTATCCAAGTTGCTTCTAGATAATCTCTAGTTAATCTTCACTGGAGGCTTCATTTTGTCAGTCAGGACTCTTCGTTGAACTTCTCTCAATTTGGCAGCACCTAAAAACATATTAAATTCAGTGAAATGATGTAAGTTGAAAGTGTTTGGAACAATATTAGTTGAATATAAATTAAGTATTCTTTACTGTACTGGTATAAACTCTTATCCCTTGTTTATCTTTTCTGATTGTATCCTAATGTAATTTTTATCTCATTCTTTTTTTATATGTCTACTTAGTCATATAATTTTGCCTTCCCTTCTTTCCTAGCTTGATGTAGTACTGGGATGTATTCTCATCCAGCTATCAATAATTTTTAATGGTTGTCCTATGGTCCTTTGATACTTAAACTACATTTCCATAGATCATCACCTGTGATCTCCATTAAAACTCTGAAACTCACTTTCTACCACAACATCGTGAAGCTAATAGTCTGAAAAGTGTGCAGAATGACATTAAGTTGAAGCAGCAGAGAGAGGAGATAGCTAACAAAAAATCCTGCTCCAAGAGTTCAAAGCTTTTTTATGCATTCAGCTGACTGTTTATAGACATCTTTTCTCCTACTAGGGTGCTGGAAGTAGCTTCTGAAGAATGTGCAGAGCTAGTCTCATTCTGTCTAGCAAAAAGAGCTAGGCACATCAAAAACACACCAAAAAGTGGTCTTATTATGACATGTTACATTCTGTACCCCATGATGTTAACCTCAGAAGAAAACATATATCATATTCTTTTGAGGCAATAAAATCTTGGTGGTTAAAGAGGTGAGGCAAATAAAAATATACTTGTTTCTAGAATATTATCTTGTGATTGTCACTATGAAAGTAGCTTAGAATTATTAGGCTTATTTTCTAACATAAAAAAAAGAGGACACCAGAAAGTGCGACTGGTATGTACATCTTTTGAGTAAGAGAGAAAATGGTAATATTTATTCTATTCATTTTGTATTTAAACTTGTTTTTATCATCAGTTTACATTTTCTCTTTATTGTAATGATTAAAATTTTAGCCAGTGTTATGATTTATTTTCTTGGATTCCTTAGTGATAAATGAGAAACTGAACTTGCTTTGAAATGTCAAGAGTTTGAGCCCAAGGGAATCTAACTAACCAAATATTAAATTTAATCATACCTTATCTTAACCAGAGTTTTTTGGTATGGTATTCAATAAGATTTAAGTGTAGCAAATAATAATAATAAATAAATAGAGCAATTTAATCATACCTTATCTTAACCAGAGTTTTTTGGTATGGTATTCAATAAGATTTAAGTGTAAATAATAATAATAAATAAATAGAGCAGTGGATTTACTACTGATAGAAATGGCATTAGTTAAAAATATGAAGAAGGTGAAATATGAACCCTAGATAGAAATTATGAACGTTTATTCAATAGCATTATAGACATTTCTATGAATATACAGAAAGATAGTAGACAGATGGGTAGATAGATAAAACATATTTTATTATTTTATGATATTTTTAGTTAAATGTGTTAATTTTAAAATTACTTTAAGAGGAGAAAATGACCCTAAAATGAAAGGGAAAATATTGCAGAACTTAAGGTCAATAGTTCATTAGGAGATAACAGTTCTTTGAAAATTGCTCTGAAGCTAGTGAAGGCAGAAGGGTCTTGAAATATCTCAAAGATCAGAGAGTCATTGTAATTTGTCTTTTCACCAAATGTTTCTAACATTTCTAAATTTCCAACACTGCCAATATTTCCAGTACTAACTTTCTGCCATGAAAGAACAGAAAAATCAGTGTATTGATACTTTTTGTTACTTCGCCTATGCTCTGATTTTGCACGTTTTTTTTTTTTTTCTTTTTTACACTTTTAAGGTTCCATAACTATAATCTCCACAGTTATGGGGCTTTACTTTGTCATTTAAATAATTCATCTTTCACTAAATTCCTTCATTCCTCCATTCAGATTTCTTAATTTTGACATTTGTGAATCTGTCCATCACCCAACAGATCTTTTCCCTTTTCCTTCCCATCAGTAGTACAAAATGATTTACCCCATTACAGTTCAGCTTTCTGTTCTTGTTTTTATTTATTTATTTATTTTAAGCTAACCTTGACTCTTCCAATGATTCTTCTGAGTCAATACCAAGGATTGGAATGACTGTTAGAGGCATTTGTATCTCTTTGAATATAGTGTGATGAATCATTAGAATTCTCTCCTCTCTGTGTCACATATAAGATTTGCATGCACAACAAAGCACAAATCATTACTATTTATTTGTTGCTTATATAAAATGCATCCAAAGGCATTGGGCAGGGGGGAGAAAATCTAAAATGAAATGATTTAAAAGAGAGTTCACTTTCCAGGCAACATAGCAGGAAGATTATTTCACCGTAGCATAAAACTGACTGATGGCCTTATAGAAATATACAATCTAAACTATTTTCATCTTTGCAAGGTCCATATTAATATCATTAGTAAACATTTGGAATTTATATCATGCTTGATAAACTAAAGCATCATAAAAATAAAACACAAAGCTGATCTTCATTTTAGAAATGAATAAAACTAGTATAAATCATGAAATATAGAAGACCTAGATAGTATATTTTTGCACAGTTTAGTATAATTTTATCTTAGAGCAATCGTTTTGAAAGAAAAATTTTATCCACACAGAAGTGGCACCTCTTTGAATAATTATTATGCCTCTCAATTCCAATTTTAGTAACATCGATAATAAGAAAGACTAGTAACATATATTTCTATAGCTTTTATCTTGCAGGAGCACACAGACTTTTAATAATTGTGATTTTACCAAGTGTGATGCTGTTCATCTTTGCAATAACTACACAAAGCAAATGAGTGGTAGAACTTAGAATCATAATGATAATACTATTTAAAAATTTTTAAAGGCCAAATAAGAGGTTCCAGAATAATTTATGACATAATCTAAGATTTTTATTTCTAATTAGAGATACAGAAGCCTAGAAAAGAGGCAAAGTTGAAACTAATACTTATAAAAAGGGAAGATAAAACATATACACCTACATGTACACACACTCAGATACACACACCCCCAAGGATATTGTTAGTTATCATCTAAAAGAAAAAGAATATTATATATACATTTTTCTAAAGTCTCTGTGATTAAAAATGACCAACATGATAATATCCATAGCAAATTAAGTCAATCACTGTTGGCCTAAACAAGAAACAGAGAGCAAATACATATAGCAAGGATTTATTAAACCAAGATGACAATTGCAATGAGGAAGACATGTAGATCAGGTCAGCCTGAAAAATGCATTCCACTGAGGTCCAGCAGAGTTTAACATTTTATAATCACAAGAAGGGCGAAGGGTCAAAGAAGAGAGAGAGAAAGACAGCTCACCTAATTATTTTATCAGGCTTTCTATTGGTAGTACATGACATATAGATTTGGGATTATACTAGGATATATACTACATCCAGAGTTCTAGGGTAAGGGTTATAAAAATTGTTCTTGGTTATTTTATGGCTTTCTGACACCGTTATGGCTGCTTCTAGGCAAAATGGTCTTATGATAACATTTTCCAGAACAGGTAGAAGTCAACATTGCAATGCCTTTTATATATTTAAACTATCAAAAAGTTTTAGACATGTAAAGGCATCTAAAAGTAATAGTATTACTGTGTTACAAATTTTCTTACCTACTCTTCTTGGAGGACTTTAGTATTTTTCATACCTTCAAAATTTTTAGACCTCTGCATTTCTGCTATTAGTCTTAATGAATGTCCTTTTCTGAAATTTCCTATGTGAAAAATTATAATATGTTATTAGGCATACAATGGTAGCCACTGGTTGCTTTATCAAATGCTTAACATTTACTGTCCACTCATGAAATTAAAAAAAAGATATACATGTTAGAAAAAAGCTCATAATTAAATATTAATTTATATCAAAGAATCTATATGGAATTTTTTTTAAGGTCTGATTGTGATCATATAACTTTGGGTGGAAAATCTTAAAGCCCGTTTGGTTATTTTCCAACAAATATGTCATTTCTGCCTTTTAAAACAGAATAAAATATAATGAAATTAAATGTTAAACTACTATAAAATATACTCTTGCTTAAGATAATTTTGTGCTGGATAGGACAATCTAAATATCAAAATATTTGAATTTCTGGTGTTGCACTTTCCTCTTTAAAGTTGTCATCGGGCCAAGCCCCTCTCTTCTCCAACTGGATATTAGGAATAAATTATTTTAAAAAGTACTTCATTTTTCAATGTTAAGGCTCTAAATCAAAGCCACATGGTAAGCTAGCCCTACAGTGGATAACAGGAGTCCTGAGAAAAGCTATTATCAGTCAAATGCTGGGGATGCTGTAAATCACACCTTCCTTTGTCAAAGCTGGTTTAAGAGCCAACAGGAATTCTGGGCATTTTCTGAATAAAACTAATCCAAGTAACAAACAATGGAAGATCAGCATAGCCAAGGCCCATAGAAGTATCCTTGTTATTTGAGACTGAGAAAGAACATCCAATTTATGAGAATCTTCTACCTTGAGACTGTGTGTGGGCATTACTGGAAGCTGTTTACCTAAATGCCACATATATTATTTCATTTTCTCCTCATATTTCCTCTAAAATGCCTGATAGTTCAAGGAAAATAACTAGATTGAACTATGGGGCTAGTATTTGTCAATTAAGCACACCTAGAAGTGATTCTGAAATTGTTTCAGGAGTTATCAATTATAAATATCAACATATGTCATTTGTTCTTCCTGTGAAATATAAAATGTGAAATGCAAATACACTCAGGATAATTCAAACACACTTTTATTAACTAATGCACTTGTAAGCACCAACACAATGTAATTAACCTTGATATTACAATTTTAAGCAGTTTGATGTTATTTGTTGCAAATATAAACTAACATTTTATCTTTGGCCATCAAATATAGACTTTAGGATGAATGCCCTCTAAGCGTTTACATGCTGTGAAAGTACATTGAAGACAGTTCTTCTTATTTCATACCATTTTACTTTTCTTATCTAAACACTCTCAATTTTGCCACATTTTAGCCCACAGCAGGCTACTCTGAAAGGTAGAAAAATCTGGTCTGGCTCATGGGGTTTCAGCTTCTTTTCCCTATGTTTTTACAGCAGTTTATAAAACACTGTGGCTTCTATTTTTCTTATTCCAGCTATTTGTTCTAATGCCTGATTTAACATCATTGGCCCAGTTGCTATAAGTCTTTTTTTGCTTGTTTGTTTTCTTATTCATTATTATATGAATCTTTGAGGCTAGTTCAATTTACAGCTAATATAGGCTCTCAAAAATATTTGAAGAATAGATAAATTAATTAGTCCAGCAAGATCCTGAAACATCTAACTCATATTTAAATAAGGCATGCTCAAACCATCATTGTCAAGCAAAGAAACTTATTTAATTAGCTAATGAAGTATATGGTGCAGGGCTAATTTATGTACCTCCAGTGATTTCCTTTCAACAATAGTTATAAAAATCATTTTCTATGTCATTTTTCTGATATTCCATCAGATATAAATCTCTAAAATAGAAGAACAGATATAAAGATGCAGTACACAGATGAACATTTGTTAGAGCTGCAGACTAGTAAACATGTCTCATAATTAATATATGTATTTTATATTTTGTCTCACTGACCTCTCCAAAACCCATGCCCCCTATTATTGTTTTGCCTTTTATAGGTTTCTTATAAAGAAGGGGAATCATATCTTATTTTGCATTTTTTCTCTTGCATAATAAAGTGATATCTTATTATGGACATTTTATTTTCCCCTGAGTGAATAATTGAACATGGTAAAAGTACATGAGACCAGGAAGCAGGTGCATTTCTTACATTGTTCTGCAGTGTTCTTTCCATATGCCCAAGTTTTTGAGTTCAATTTGACAGGGATTAAATATGCCTTATTTCCTGTGAGGAACAGAGTTCTCCTGACAATTGCCTCCAACTAGAGAAGGGAACACAGTGTAAGAATAAATGTCTGGATTTTACTTTTGCTTTCCCTGAAATTCTTGTCTCATCAAGGGCAAAAACATATTTTTCATAGAAAGTTAAGGAGAGTGATGTATGTAGGTCTTCAGCATTTGTTTGCAAGTACTGTCTTTACATGTAATAAGAAATATAGACTCTCCCTATTCTAAAATATTTCACTGCCCAACAGGAAGAAGTTTACTCAGATTTATTGTTGTGGAGAGAATGTTGAATATTTTCAAGACGTTATTTTGATTTGTCATCTGAATTTTCCTATCTACAAAATGGGTAAATAATATCTCCCTGATTTATATGATGCTTGTGAAGGCTACATGAGAAAACAAATACAATGGAATGTGACATGCAGATGAAAAATGCCTGGATCAATTCCTCAAAGAGAGAAATAGACCCACAAATATTGATCTCATTATTCCACCCTTTTTCATTTTTAGCTTACTTGTTTTCCCTCTCTTCCCTCAGAAGACTGAAAAACATGAGTGAGACAGTGTTAAGTCCTCAACTATAAATCTGGAAGATGGAGAAAAGAAAATACCTTGAGGTGGTCAATTAGGACAGTGAGCCGAAGTCTTTATCCACTTACTGTGATAATGTAATCGAGAGGCAAAAATAAGCTCCAAAGTCCTAGTGTTCCATTTTCCTCACGGAACAGCACTGGCCAGGGTCAGGTGGCAGGCAGTGTAGGAGGGAGATGTTCTCCCACTGCCCAGGACAACTAAACAAAAGGCTCCTTTGTATTTATGGACCCGGGATGCTGGAGTGAAGAGGAGAAACAGGAGAAGGGATAGAAGTGGAAAAGTAGTGAGCCAGAGTGGGCAAAAGCCAAGGCCCCTGGTAAGGTAGTCTCTGGGGAGGCATCTGGCTAAGAATACAGATCTGCATTTGGGCAATGCTGACCAGGAAGGCCCTCAGTACTTAACTGCAACTTCCTCTAGAACACTTTAATGCACTGATTGTGCAACAAGTGGGGAGGGCAATGCAGGTCTTCCCCATCAGATTTGCCAGCCAAGGGTCAGGCCTGAAAAATCACACACTGGGATTTTTGCTGCCAGACTCTTCAGTTACTTTCTGAATGTAAAATTGAAAAACAACTCACCCAGATTAGAAAAAAAAAATTACATAACAGAGAAAAGGTCCTTGCAATTCTACATTACAAAGTAGACATAAATGACCTCAAGAAGAAATGGACATATCCAGTATTGGTGCAATAGCTAAATAGACTTGTATATCTACATGATGATATATTAAGTAACAGCTATGAATAGTGTTTTAAAGAAATACTCACAGTGTGAGAAAATATTTACAGTATAACTTGAAGTCAAGAATGTAGAGTACCATATTGTAGATAGGGTCAGATACCAACTTATGGATATGCTTGTGTGTGTGTGTGTGTGTGTGTGTGTGTGTACCAAAGCATATCTAATGTAAAAGTATCTATTACAGAAAACTGTGTGTGTGTGTGTGTGTGTGTGTGTGTGTGTGTGTGTGTGTGTGTGTGTGTGTGTACCAAAGCATATCTAATGTAAAAGTATCTATTACAGAAAACGGAATTATACAAACATACTTGTAAGTTTATGAGATTTGACAAATGTGTTATAGTGAGCATGTATATAGAACTTTTATCATTAAATATATTATTATACAAGTAACTAAAATAACTTTAAGTATATGGTGTCTAGGCAAAGGGAAAGGGTCTTTCAGAGCCTTTTTAATGATTCTGGTTATCACTCTCAGCACAGATAAATGGTGTGGATAAAAATAAAGAGGTCCCCGAGGTGGAAGGAAAAATTCGTTGGAACTTGAGTTTCTGTGAAACTTAACTTTTCTTCTTTGTTGGGCTTTTAGCTTGCCATTTTTTTATTTGAAAATATTATGTGTGTAATAAAAATTTAGTAAACCTAATGGTAATTAACTGATACCACACAACAGTGATGTTTGTAAGGATGTGGGAGAAGAAAATATTTTTTGAGATAAGAAGAGGATTATGACTCCAGGCAATGAACCAATTTTTTTCCCCTCCTCATTTCCTCCTGGGCCCTACACTACTTTTGCTTTGAGCCATGTGTCTTAGTCCATTTGGCTGCTATAACAAAATATCATAAACTATGTAGTTTAGAAACAATAGAAATTTTTTTCTGACAGTTCTGGAGTCTAGGAAGTTCTAGATCAAGGAGTTGACACATTCAGTATCCAGTGAGAACCCATTTCCTAGTTCATAGAAATTTCCATATCGCTGTGTTCTCTTAGGTCAGAAGGGGAGAACTCTGGTCTCTTCAGGCCCTTTATAAGGCTATTAGTCCCATTCATGAGGGCTCCACTCTCATGACCTAATGACCTCCCAAAGGCCTCACCTCCTAATACACTCACATTGGGGGTTACGATTTTAACATATAAATTTGGGGGGAAGCAAACATTCAGACCACAGCACCATGTGCACCCAAATGGGTAGCTTCCTGTTTGTCTGGGTGCATACCAGAGAGTCTTGTTCACACTATCTCTCTGCAAATGTCACTTGTGCCATTTCAGTAGTGATACATGCTACTGACAAGCAAACGGATTGGAGAACATCACTGCACTTTTTTGTTTTATATCATCTTGACAACTTAAAACCTCCCCAAACAGCACAATCCTTTCAGAATTCTCAGTTATTTTTTGTTTTTATTGAGATTATTTTTTAAAGGATTAAGGACTCTTCACCTTGGCCTTACCTCTTCTTAATCGCTGGTCTTTATCCTGACATTCAAACTTTATTTTCCTCAAGAAATTCAAAGGCTGAATTACTGCCATTTAGCAAAGCCAGAGAAGCAGATCCTGAAATAACAGAGGACCAAGCAGATTTTTTTTTTTCTGAAAAATTGATGTAAAAATGAAGCCATTAATTTTTGTGCTTCTTTCCAGAATGATTCTTTCTGTACAGGACTGTTTTTCTCCTGTTCAGAATAATCCAAAGCAGAAGCAAGTAAATTTCAGATTTACTGGAAAGCTCAGCCTATAATAACTGAGCAAATTAATTAGGAGAGCACATTTATATATATATGAATATGAATTTTTAAAAAAATCCCTGCGTAATGAATATAGACAACCATGTACTCATTGACAAAGGCCAGAAAGTTGGATATTTTAATTTCATTTTTTAAAATTGCCTTTAACCTCACTAGCCATTATTTTCTCATGCAGATAGATATCCAATAATAGCTTTCTTTTCACATCTCATTTCACTCAGGCAAGGGGAGAAATTGGCACCCACCTTTAAGGTATTTGAAAGGAGGAGGCCCTCTCACAGACATAAAAGATAAAATAGAATCCTGGGCTATAAAGTTAGGTGTAGGTGGGGTGCAGTGTTTTCAGTGAAAGGAACAAAGGATTTACACACAGTCAGTCAGTAAGCAACCTGTGTTCTTTGGTTTCTGTCTTTATCTTGAATCCCATCAACTCCTATAGTCTGTGGTAGGACCTAATCATATTTGGAGCAACCCTGTATTGTGGCTGAGGCATCCCTTCCTTTGAAAAGTCAAAGTCCCAGTATTTCTGTCCGCCTGTCTTTACTCCCTTCTAAACCAACAGAGAAGATTATTTTGTAGAACCCCTGTCAAGCCAATTTACTTGGAGAAAAGATAAGGTTGAATTTAGAGGGCAAAAGCCACCTATGAATTGTTTAATTTCTTCTCTTTCTAATTCATTTTAGCTAAAGGGTGAGTGAGTTCAAATTCTCAATCTACTCCTTACTAGTAGTGTAATATTGGCAAGCTTTTAACCATTGTGATCATCAGTTTTCTCATCTGTAAAATGGGTACTACTAAAACTTCCCTCACAGGGTTGTTGAGAGGATTGCCAAGTGGGGCCTGACACATACTGAACATGGCATGTGTTTGTCTTTCATCATTCCCTTGCTCTCTTAGCTAATTGAACAATATGGGTTCTGACCATTTTTTTGATCAGAAAAACGATTAATAATTTCAAAAAGTCAAGTTTAATTATATCATCCAAATCACTGAAATTTTACAGGTAAACTAAGTGTAGTCTTTGGTTAATAGAAATAACATGTTACTATGGTACCTGTGGATTTATCAAAATGCAGAGCAATTGCTTCTCTGATCTTCCACAGATCGTATTTGATATAATTAATTATGCATTACAGCAGATTGGCTCACTTAAAAACTTTCATAAGTTTTCATTTCACTGTTATTGTTATTATTTTTTAATGTTATTGTTTTGTTGCATTCTATCTATATCCTTTATTCTAGAAGGTTTATTCCTCATTTTATTATTTACTATTTCTACCTCCATCTCTTATCTCTTTTGTTCCCCTCCATCTCTTATCTATAGAGGTCCTGTGGCAGTCACCTGCCTGTTGACTCTAAAATCCAACTGGTGTGCTTTTCCCTCTGCCCTTTCCCTGGTCTGCTTTTTGACACAGGGAACTGACGCTCCATGAAATAAATTCTCAGGCTCCCTTACAACTCTGGCATCCACATAGGCTGGGTATATAGGAGGCGATGATAGGAAAATGGAAGAAATAAGGGAAGGGGAAATGCCAGGTGATTCCCCTCCTTTCTCTTTCTGATTTCAACAGTCTTGGCTATGACTCTAGCTCCTGCTAGGCAGTCCCCCTTCTATGGTTTTAGCTCCCACCAGGAACCCCACCCCCCACCTCCAGTGGCTCGGCTGGAGCTGGCTTCATGGGGAAGACCTGTGCAGTCATTGTGCAGGGCATCATGCATAAAAGGACCCCATGCTTGATTAATGCTCTGTTATTGCCATTTTGAAATTCTTAATAGTTTCTGAACAGGACTCATGCATTTTCATTTTGCACCAAGCCCCACAAATTACACAGTCAGCCTAGGCTCCAGCACCACCTGGGGAGCTCCCTTCACATTTCCAGCTTCCGGCTCCACAGGCTCCATACACTTTGTGAGAGTGCCTTTGAGCTGCTTCACTTCTGGAGTTCCAGCTCCTGTGTGGTCTGGCTTCTTGGCCCTGTAACACTATCACACCTGCAGTTCTAGGAGTGGTGGTGGCTTCTGCAGTTATAAACACTTCCTTCAGTTGTCATTCCCTCTGACAACTATGTTAATAGTTCCCTGTATTATATTTTGCCGTATTAAACTACCTGGCATTCATTCCATTTTCTTGACAGGAGTCTGGCTTTATAGACACCAAAACCAGCATATTTAAAATATATTCAAAATTATGCATGTTTCTTTGAAAAGTATATTTTGATATTTAGGTTTTTTAAAATTGATATTAACAGATTTATGCTATGATTGTTTTCAGTTGCTTTAAACTTATTACTGTTTTGAAATCTAATACTGTTGCTGCATAAATTCTACTTTACTTCTGACTGCTTTACAGTATTCCGTCCTTTACAAATACCAAGTTTCTACTAACTTTTCCCCTAATAATTGATATTTAAGTTGTATTTGGCTCCCCACTATTTATCCTGATAACAGCAAATTTCCTATTCCTTATTCAAAGGTAATGAGTTGAAAGTTTTGTTATAAATTATCATAGTCAAGGTAGGCTTTTATTAAACAGCTTTATCAAAATAAGAATTTCCCCTTTTCCTTCTGATTTTCTTGGGCTTACATAAAGATAAGTATTAAACTTTATGAGATGCTTTTTCTGCATCTACTGTAATCATGCGATTGTTCATTTAATGATTTAATAGGATAATTCAACAGGTGAATTTTCCGATGTTTTAAGTAAGTTTTTATCCCTGAGCTAAATCTGAACGTCATGTATAATAAATCTTGTTATGGACCCTTGGAGCTGATTAAGTAATGAAAGTTCTCCCGGCTGGATAAATCTTTTATGTTCCTGTCATTAGATAGCAAAGATGCAGAGTAAATTTGTGTATCAGTGGATACCCAAATTTATTTGTTCCCCAAAGTTTGGATAGCAGTAGGAAGAGTTCAGATAACAAGACTTTGATCTGAAATTGTTTTCCATATCTTTTTGTTTCTAGGACTAGGATATTGAGAATTTGGAGAACATGAGTGTGGATAGTGAAGGGTGCATTAAGTTTTCACATTCACCCATGAATAGTGGGGCATGTAATTTTATTTTCTGCTACTGTAATAGTAGCCTGTTAATTTGACAAAATGAGATAAGCAGCTAATTTTCATTTCCTATTATCCTTTATTTATATAAGTTAAAATATATATGTTTCTTGAAAGGGCATAGGTAAAATAGCATTTCCCTATGGAACTATCTAGCTCTGAACTGTTTTTTTAGGAGATGAAGTAGGGAATAGTGTCTTTGATTACCATTTTAATATGTTCAATGGCTATTTGTTTTATTTATCAAGATTTTTTCTTCTTGTATTAATTTTAGTATTTTATAAAAAGTATTTTATATTTTTTCAAAAAATATATTTATCTCTTCTACGTTTTCAAATTCATTGGTGTTTATATCATTTTATCTTCATGTTGTGATGACATATCCAGATTATCATAATATATTATAACATTACATATTGTAATATTTGTATAATTATGCAATAAATATTATATTTCTTACTTTTAATATGTATATTAAATACATATTTAGTCTGTTGTAGTAAATTTTCCTTGTTTCTTTGCATTTACTTTTTTGTTCATCCTACAGCTTTTCAGTTGAGAATACTTTTTCTCAAAGCTTAGCTTCATATCACACTTTTTGACATAAATTACTTTCATTTTATCATTTTGCTAAGTGTTTTCTCTTCAGCGAAGAGTTATTTAAAATAGTTTTTTTTTCAACATATTGAATTTTTTACATGTAATATATTTACTTTTTTGGTGGATTTCTACTATTACTGCATTATGGTAAATATATGAGTATATACAAGAGTATATGCATTTATGTGTGTGTGTATATATAATTATATATATACAATAATGTATACTCTTAATATATATATATATATATATATATATATATATATATACACCCACAAACTGTATATGGTATATTTTGTGACTCTGAGCAGATTTAGTTTTTGAAAATGTTCTGCCGTGCTTGACATGAATCTGTAGTCTCTTTTGTGAATAAAGTTAATTGGAGCACATTATTTGTCTTTTATATTTTATACGCCTATAGTTTGCTTAATTTTTGTCTTTTTAATATGTTAGTTTCCAAATATTGGAAGAAGGTATTAAAAGCTTTGAATTCTAACAGATCTTTACTACTTACAATTTTATTGGTAGGTTTACATATATTCAATTTTTTTTTTTTGGATAACCGCTTTTCGATTAGTCCTTTAACCAGTACAGCATTCCCTTCATTTTCTCTTTTGATGTTTATCACCTTAAATTATATTTTTTCTAATATTAAAATTGTTAAGATGGCTGACCTGTATATGGTTTACAATGAGACACATTCTCTTTTTATTTCATAATCTAATAATCGCTGTCAGATTAGGACTTTACTTCTTTTACATTTCAGGTTTTCTATATATATTTATTTAAGGCTCTCTAGTTACTTCATGTTCTTTCTTCTTTCCTAACTGCATTAAATAACTTAAATTTTCATCCTTTGAGAGATTGTCATTTGATTTTTACTCATTGGGTGGCTCATACACATACATTTTTTATGTATACTTATGGGTATTTCTTCCCATCCTTTCCTTAAATTTGTCAATATCCATTTCTTTCTTCCTTCTCTTTTCTATCTGCTGAACCCCCAACCCCATCCACACTATCTTCTTTTCTGTTTTTTTTTTTTTTCCTACTCTGGAACATTGTTTATTTATTTATTTATTTTTAAATTGTAACTTCTCAATATACATTGTTGTCAATTTTCATGACACTTTACCCATTCCTCTGCCCCCTCTCTTTCTCCCCTCCACCCTACATCACATC